TCCAGTTTATCTGTCAGACAAGCACATCTTTACGACCAAGCTGGTAGAAGATGCCCATCTATGCACCCTTCATGGGGGAGTGGGGATGACCATGGCCCGAATTCGAGAACAGTACTGGGTCCCACGACTTAGACAACTTACACGCAAAGTAATCAAGAAGTGTTACGGTTGTCGTAGATTCCAAGCGAAAGCAGTGCTACAACCACCACCTGGTATGTTGCCACCAGATAGAACTGAAGGGAGTCGTCCCTTTGAAACAATAGGCGTGGACTTTGCTGGTCCTATTAAGTACATTAAGAAAAAGAAGGAAGAAGGAAAGGCATACTTACTACTCTATGCCTGTAGCCTCACGCGAGCGGTATATCTCGAGTTGATGCCCTGCTTAGACACAGGAAAGTTTATCGAGAGTTTTAAGAAATTCATCGCAAGGAAAGGGAGACCAAGCAAAGTCTACTCTGACAATGCAAAAACGTTTGTTTCAGCAGCAAACTGGTTACGAACAGCTCAAAACGATGAAAAGTTGAACGAATTCCTCAGCAAGAATCGAATTAGATGGCAGTTCAACCTGAGTCGCGCCCCATGGTGGGGTGGCCAGTTCGAGCGCTTAATCGGATTGGTAAAAAGAGCTCTACATAAAACAATTGGCAAAGGGTCGCTGATTTGGGACGAGCTGAAGGAGGTCCTCGTAGACATCGAAGTAGCATTGAATACAAGACCACTCAGCTACATGGAAGATGATGTACAGCTACCAACGCTAACGCCTAACTCCATGATGTTCATTGGTTCTACATTCGCGCCAGAGCTGGAAGCACATCACATACAAGAAAAGGATCTACGCAAGCGTGCAAGGTATTTGTTAAAGTGCAAGCAAGCAATGTGGCGGAGATGGTCAACGGAATATCTGCGCGGTCTACGAGAGCGACATAACCAAAATCACAAGAAGACGTCGTTCACGGTAAAAAAGGGTGACGTGGTTATTATACAATCGGATGAACGAAGCCGTGGAAAGTGGCCTCTCGGTGTTGTCGACGAGCTGTACAAAGGACGTGATGGTGTTGTTCGTGCGGTGAAACTTCGTGCAGGAAAAACCTACCTTGAACGAGCAGTGAACCACCTGTATCCACGGGCAATAGGACAGGTGTAGTGTTGTTAAATAAAAAGTTAGAAATGGTATTGTACTTACCCATGTATTATAATTATGTTTAGAAGATCAGAATATTCATAAATTCTTATTTTGTTTCATAAATAGTTCTTTAATATTCGAAACAAATTCCATATCTGCTTTGTCTGCCGCCGCCATGTTTACTCGCCCCAATCTACATACTACACGGCATTGCCGCCCCTCCTGGCAAGATAATAAGCAAGCGAGAAAAATTAAGGAGAAAATAAGAGGGTAGGAACATCGTTGTCATAAGCTGGATGCAGTGACACTTCCATATATGGCACAAACGTATCCATAACTTCCATATATGGCACAAACGTATCCACGACGCGTTTTATAACGTTTTATTTGACGTAGGGATGACGTGTAATGCTGCTTCCCGCCTATGACGATTTGAATTAGTCATGTGATACAAGATTGAGCAAGCTGATTCGCCCAGAGCGATGAAACGCCCACGAAACGCCCACAGTGTTCCTACCCTCTTATTTTCTCCTTAATTTTTCTCGCTTGCTTATTATTTTGCCAGGAGGGGCGGCAATGCCGTGCAGCATGTAGATTGGGACGAGTAAACATGGCGATGGCAGACGAAGCAGATATGGAATTTGTTTCGAATATTAAAGAACTATTTATGAAACAAAATAAGAATTTATGAATATTCTGATCTTCTAAACATAATTATAATACATGGGTAAGTACAATACCATTTCTAACTTTTTATTTAACAACACTACACCTGTCCTATTGCCCATGGTATATATAGTAAGGATTGTGGATTATTTAAATTTGTTGTATTTTAATATATACTTTATCTTGTATAATGTATTCAATACGTATTCAACACTACTCTTCATATAGACGTACATGGAAGGGGAGGGGCTGACCAAGGAACACTGCATCTCGCTATTCTCGAATGGTTAATATAGAATGATTTAGCTGTTGGGTGTCTCGCAATACAGCAGACTCGTATTTCCAGCGGGCGCGGTGAAATTTAGAAATTCGTGTCTCACTGTTTATAACCTGAAGTTCAGGCTCTAATTTTAAATAGGGCCTGACACAAAACCTATCTAGACCGTGGGACGCCCACATGTTATTTTTAGACACAGTCATGCAATATGATTGACAAGTGTTGTAGATTTCATATTAAACTGGAGAACTGCTTGACCAGCATTCTTTACTTTTCAAAAGACCTCGGCGTGTTTTATGCTCATTGTGCGTAAGTATTTATTTTCTTATGAAGCAATTGGCATGAGTGTTGAAGCCATGACTTTAGAACACCGTTTTTGTAATGAAATCACTCTTTGTTTTCACGTTTATTACAAATGTAGTTTTGTACAGTAAGTTACTTTCACGAGGGAGTTCAACTAACAACACAACAATCCCATCATGCATTAGTCTCTCAGTATTACGTCGTACTAATATTTGGATAACATACAGTTTTATATTGAACTCAACAATGAGTATGTATATGAGGCCACATAAAGAAAATACTTGTCTAGCGTCCACCCATATTTATATACATTTCAATTTTTCTAGGTGGGGCAGGCGGGGTTTTTTCGTAGAATGCGACACAAAACTTCTACTACAGGGTGTTTTAAAAGCTAAATGCAGGAATTCCATACCGCCAGCTCACCATAGAATAAAGATCCATATAGAAGGACCACTTACGTCGGAAGCTTTGAAGTTTCTGTCATTGCGCATGTTGGCCGCCATTTTCCTAGCCAGTCAATGACATTTTCTGGCCAATAAACACCCTGTACTGGCTGGCTGCTCCGCCTTCTGGTCAGTAAACTGCATATTTTTGCACAAAAAAACGAGGACACGTTGTACCGCTGAGTGGCCCTTCTGTTACTGATCTTTATTCTGTGCCACTCACTTTCAGAATCCCTTCATGTTTTTTAATCCCGTCATGTTTTATTAATTGAAACAGAAAAGTCACTATCGTTCTGAGATGACATTTTAATTTATGCTATATGTTCAGCACGTTGGAGTCACCAAAGGCAGCAGGAATAATTTGAATGGCATTCGAATGGGAAACATTTAAGCATGTTTAATTCGTAGCTGTTTATGCATGACCATGGACAGCTACAATCACGTGCAAAAATAATAAGACTGTATTTCAAACATTTTTTTCATTTTGACACATCTACACTCACATAATTCGATCTGTTCTTACTATTTCCCCCCTCCCCCAGTGACAATAATGTACGTTGGGTGAATGTTTTCAGCCAACACTGTGGTTTGATATCATGGAAACAACATTGTTTTTTTTGGGGGGGGGGGGGAGTGGGGGGCGAATAGGATGTCTCAATAATTTTTTCTCCTGATTCAATCACGTGCAAAAATAATTAGACTGTACAGGGTGTCCCAAAAAAAAGTGACACTATAGAAATTATCCTATTGTTATAATTTGAATGTCCTAGCATTAAGTTGATCCCACAGGTGCATAAACTTCTGCTTCTGGAATTTAAAATAAAAAAGCAAATCGTTTATTAGTGTAATCGTTTTGCTTGACTCGGGCGTTAAAATATTTGGACAAAGCGAAAACGTTTTGAAATGCTTAAATGTAAATACAAGTTCATTAGATTACCAGGCGTGTATTCACGCGCGTTTAAGAGCGGCTTAAGAACAATGAGATATTGAGATCATTTCTATAGTGTCACTTTTTTGGGGACACCATGTATTTCAAACATTTTTTTTATTATTTTGACACATCTACACTCATATAATAGCTGTTATCGTAATTGAATACGTCTATGTTACGGACCAGCGGTATCTGCATTATTTTAACATCTAGACGAGGCTATAGGGTCATGGGCGTACCGGAAGGAAAAAATTAGGGCGGCGGAAAGAAATTTGCCCGACTTTTCGGGATTCTGCCCGACTAGTACCGAAAAATTTTTTTCCGGAACAATAATTTCGGCGACCTCCCCCCCCCCCCCAATTTTCCAAACAACACACAATTGACCACGAAATTGTCTGAATTATTGTCCGAATTTGTCGAAATTGACAGAATTATATTTGTCCCATTTATTTTGATTACACACCTAAATTGCCCGACTGTTGATCGAATATTGCCCGACTGCCCAACAAACT